CTCAACCAGCTTATGTGACAAAAGTACAGTATCTCTTTGTTAAGTGGCTCTTCACAAACCTGTCAGTCAACCCAGAGTCTTGCTGCACCAATTAACCACACTACTCCCTAGAAAAGTTTGTTTTAAATTTCACACACCGAAGCCTAAAAGAGTTAAACATTAAAGAACAATGACAGAATCCAATTCTCTACCTCAGAAAAAGGAGTATTAAAAATGCTTTGTTTGGGCTTCCCTGGTGGCTCAGTGGTTGACAGTCCGCCTGCCGACGCAGGGGACACGGGTTCATGCCCTGGTCCAGGAAGATCCCACATGCCGCAGAGTGCGTGGGCCCGTGAGCCATGGCCGCTGAGCCTGCATGTCCGGAGCCTGTGCTCCGCAGCGGGGGAGGCCACAACAGTGAGAGGCCCGCATACCACCAAAAAAAAAAAAGCTTTGTTTTACGTAAATTTGTGATTCACTGTACATTTTTCAAAGTTGTGTGTGTGAAAGACTGTAAAAGAAATCTGAGAGTACTACTTATATACATGTTTCCTATTATTGAACAGTTCACTATAAATGGAAATCCACGTAAATATACTGACAGTAAAATAAATTAAGATTAAAAATAAAACTTATCTAACAACATAAAATAAAAGTCAGATTTTGAGACTTGCTATAAACGATAATTTGAGGATTTTAGCATCAAAAGCTTGCCTGAAGTTAGTTACATCAAAATTTCCCTACTGAAGAGACGGACTTGAACATATATTAAGAAGGACCAAAATATACATGCTGTTCCAGTGAAAAGTCAATCTGGGAATATGAAAAGCTCTTACAATTTTTGACATTTATCCTAGAAATATTTTATAGTTTGAAAAACACTTAGTAAACAAGAAAATAGTTACATCAGAATATAATACGTTGGCCAGCAATAATTGGTATTGAAGTAAAAGAAAGCAGCACAGGAAAGACAACTTACAGAATACTAAGCACTCATATCACAGAGAAAAAGAGTTCCATTCTAGAAGAGGAAAAACTGTTATGGCTCAGTGATGAATGTTAAACTACCAGAACTTAAAAATGAAAGAAACAGTACCCAAACCATCATTTTGAAACTATTATTCTGATTTTGAATTTTAATTTTTATCCTTTCTCTAGTCTTGTCTAAAAATCTGCAGTTTCAATATTATCTGCTTTTCCCACGCTCCCACACTCTCTAGAATACTACTGTGTGCTTAGCACAGCACTAGGAGATAACATCTTCAGCATCAATTGTGTGACCATTCTTCCCAGCTGAAGACACGGTTTTAACCCAACAGAACCTGAACTGGGCAGGCTGGATTTTATAAGCCATTTGCTGTACCCAGCAAAGACAGAGATTGAATCCAGTATCCACTTTAGTGGTCAATGTGAGTAGGGACATGACTCAGAAGTGCAAAGTGGCCACGTCCCAGAATAGAGTCAGGCTTAAGCTGAAGGGAGAAGGGGATTAAACTGTGGATCCTGTTCTTACTATGTGACCTAGAGGAAAGTACCTAATCTCACTAAGTTTCAGTTTCCCCACTTGCAAAATTCAGAGCAGTAATATCTATGTTAACAGCATTATACAGAACAAATGAAATAACATATAAAGTACCTGGCATGAGTGCCATGTGCTCCAAGTCCTGGTTTTAAACCTTGACGAAAGTGCATACATTCAAATATTATATCATCTCTATTTTAAAAAAGAAAAAAGATAGATATATACACTGGAGCTCAATATGCATGTGCTAGAAGCAGGAAGAGAGGTAAGGTGGGAGGGAAAGACCATCTATTCCCATAATTTATGTTCCTTAGACTCTAAAGAAAAAATACCAATAAATTTGGTTCAACTCAATGTCAGAGGATAGAAAAAAGAATAGACATTCTTTCCACCTTCACTGAATCAAATCTAATAGAGGGTCACACCAAGTTACAGTCAACGCTGAAATCCAAAAAGTTCTTAAACGTTTTTAAAGTTGTTTTCATATATAAATTTGATGGCAAACACATAGCACAGGGAGATCAGCTCGGTGCTTTGTGACCACCTAGAGGAGTGGGATAGGGAGGGTGGGAGGCAGGGAGATGCAAGAGGGAAGAGATATGGGGATATCTGTATATGTATAGCTGATTCACTTTGTTATAAAGCAGAAACTAACACACCATTGTAAAGCAATTATACTCTAATAAAGATGTTAAAAAAAAAAATTTGATGGCAAAATGAGTCCTAAACTTGAACTGGCTAGGGGCTTTATAGTCATTCTAAATATTGAGCATAAATATTCATGTACTGTAAGTTTCATTATGTGGTAAGGTCCCAAATCCCACTGGTAATGTGATATAATGTATGACAAACAGCAGTAGCTTCTGAAAATACATAGTAATCAAAATGCCTAAACACATGTAGCCCAAGAATTTCAGAGAAGGGAGTCTGAATAATCTCTGCTTAAGGAAAAAACGGAGAACAGCTATATAAAGAGGTAAACTGACTAAGGTAGAAAAATTTATAATTAAGAATTAATTTTCTATCCTTCTTAGATTAGTATTTGCTTAGGACCCTTGAATATCCTATAATACAGAAACAACCACACTACTTACATCATTGAGTTCTTGGAGAAGCAAGAGATAATCTATATAAAATGCTTTAAACAATGCCTGGCATAAAGTAAGTACCCGGTGAATGCTGTGTCATACAAGTGACTAGAAAAATACTTTGAACATTTACATGGAAAACGCAAACAGGTGAGTAGATACCTCAGATAGGTAGCCTGCTATATACCATACTCTATTTTAGAATTTTATTTTTAAAAATCTAAGAGTTTCCCTTTTCCTATGCCCGGAATTGTTTCTACTATGAGGCCTCAGAGACAGTATTAGTTCAAGTCATGGAGGCAGGTAGCAATCCCAGTTGAGCCAACAAACATTTGAAACTGGCAGCGTGGAAAGACTTGAAGCTCTAAATACAATAAAAGATATTATTTAGGAAAAAATTCAACTATTAAAGACTGGAGAGTAGCCTAGAAGAATGCTTCTGGAAATGAATGTACAAACTAATGAGCCAGAGTTTTCGTTAAAACACAGATTCTAACTTACTGTGTCAGGGCCAGATATTCTGCATTCAAGTTCTCTGGTAATCACAACACTACTGGTCTAGAAACCCAAACAGTAGGTAGGCACCACAGCAGTGGTCCTCAAAGGGTATGAGCAACATCAGAATCTCTTGGGAAGTTATTAGAAATGCAAATCTGAAAGAACATAAGGAGACTCTTCTCTAAATCATCTGTTTACATCCAGACCGATTACTTTCCCTAAGAATAAAAGTAGAATACTTTTTAAATACTTGACAAGTAGCATACTAGAACATGTTACCTAAACAAAACAATTTCTCTCTGCAAACAATTTCCAAAACTAAAGCCCCCTGCAATTATACTTAAAATGTAGGCTTTTACATGATAAGAAGCCTGTTCTTGATAATACATAGGCAAAGTATTGAGATATGTAGCATCCTCACTTGAACTACTTGCCAACTTTTCACAAAATGGCTCACTTCCATTTTACCTAGGTCATAGAGATATGAGTTTATAAAGAAACCAGACTGAGTTTTAAATTTCCTTGTTCTGAGAATATAGCCAACTACAACATGGTTTAGGCAACTTCTCCAGAGTAATGTTTATACATAGCCTGGCTCATATGCAAATATATGTCAACATTTTGATTTATAGCTATAGATGATCTGTTTACATACACAGATACACAAATTAAAGTACATTAATGGTTTGAAACACAATATTCTTGAAGGACAAAAAACATGAGAATAAACTACAAATACAGAATGTTATGAACAGAGAAAAGATTTCAGTTTTCTGAACATGAAGCTAATTGATTGTTAAATAGGCTTTCCATAAAATAATAAAATGAAATAAGATATAAAATAAAATAAAATAAAAACTGTTGCCCTCACAATTCCCATTCAGTATTTCTTTCAACTTCAATCAACATCTGAATTTACAAGGTCACTTCTCAGTCGCTATCTGAGTACACCGTTCTGTCCTTAACATATTTTTGAAGGAGTAAATTACAAACAGATTGTAAAGCACCACACTTGCTTAGGCATTGGGGGTGGACCCCTCTGATTTTGGCTAGGACCAGGTATACATACAACAGTGGTGACCTCAGGAGACATTTCATGGTCACAGCAGGGGAGGGGAGGGAGGGAAGAGTGCTTCTGGTATCTAGTGAGTAGAGGCCAGGCAACTTTTAGGATGCACAAAACAGTCCCCAGAGCAAAGAATTAGCTGGCCTAAGATGCCAATAGTGCCAAGGTTAAGAAACTGTGATTTGAATTGTGGAGGTTGCAAAAGTGCAGAATGAATGTCCCTTGTGCATCATCACTACATTTCTAGCACGGTGTCAAGCACAGTAATAAATATTTGTTGATTATGAAATAAACTACTTCTGTGTAGCTGAGATCTTAGAGTCAGAGATGAAAAGAATGAGAAAGGGGTTATTATATATATAATATCTAAAATTACAAAACAAAATTGCAGTCATTGTCAGAATTAAAAGGAATTAAAGATCATTCAGCCCAATTTCTCTATTTCAGAAAATTTTTTTTCTCATGCAAAAGATGCTGTCTAATGTACTGATATGGCAGTGTTGGGAGGGGGTAGACAGTCCTCTGAATAAATAAAAACAAAATATATTTATAAATTAAAATATCAGTTTTCACTTCTAATCGTGTCAATGTCACCTACGTTTCTCAAATTAATAAAGTATTTCCTTTATAAAAGCTAAAACCAATGTTACATAAATCATAATAAGTGATACTTCAAAGCAGGAAACAAAATAAATGTAATTATTTTTCAAAAAAAACAACTCACAGACCTCCGTGGCCTACAGCATTTATACTTCTGAGAATTCTGGGCTTTAAAATGTCATGAGAAATTCTCAACTGGCTTACATTTTTGAAACACAGGAACTGACAGTCATAAGGCCAAACATACCCTTAATAATCGATTCAGCTGCATACAGATCTCGTTTGTAGGTCACCTAGAGGACAGATAAACTTCATTAGACTTAACAGAGTAGGAAGGAATGTGAAAGCAATAAAAGTATGCCCCCAAGGAAATTCTTGATTTTGGAGAAACTATAAACACATAATACTGACAATTTTTAAATTATAACAACATCAGTTTATTCAGAAAAAATATATATTGTTTCTACAAATGGTTGAAGATTTGTTTTTAAATCTTTAAGTAAATTGAGATGTTATGTGGCAGTGGTTACCAAAGTCTTATTAATATAAGTATTATATCAAAGAAAATGTGGTAGCATTTAAATAAAAGTATTAGAATTATTGCTTAATAGTAGGTTTTGTGTTGGAAGGAAAGAAGGAAAAGTATATATTAAAAAAATTACCAAATTGCATTTTCAGTTGAAATGAGATACTTCTGAAAGACCAATTCACATTGAGGGTCTTCATTCTGAATTGAGTTTATCTGTATACATCCAGATAAGGTTCACCTTTTTAAGATTTTTATTAATACATAACTGATAGAAAGAGCCTGGAGGGTACCACCATGTATATAAGAACAATCATGATCTTTGCTTAAGAACATACAGCCTCCTTGCAATAACCTATTCCTTGTAATATACCCTGCATGGTCCTATAGCAGATAGTTCCCAGACTACATCCAGTGAGCTCAGGTACAGAACATGTCAAGTGCATGGCACTGCAGAATCACTTTTCCTACATCACAGAACTGAAGAACATAGTAAATAATCAAATATATTAATAAGTACTATAAGGTCTTAGGAGCTTATCATTCATGGGTTCAGATGATTATGATGCAAATGGTCTAAAAACCCACTTTGAGAAATACTAATTAATACCCTTGCATGTCTATAATTTGGACTATTTTCCTCCAGATTATATCCTAACTAAACTTGTACAGAAACTTTGTTCAGGTAAGTGGCTCAGGGCACTTCTACCCAAAATAGGTTTCCCTGCTATGCCTGTATCCTGGCAGGTAACCCTGGTCCAAAACTATACCTTACAATCCAGAACTAATGTAGCAGCTAACTTGTAAGACAGACGGAAATTTCCTCAAGCACTCAACCAATCTATTAAAATCAAATACGACATTGTTAAATTATGTCTAAAATAAGCACATGTGAACCAAAACTAGTACTATAGTTACTGACCCAAAATGCAGTTCTCTTATCTGGGGATAAAAATAGAAAACAGACACTTATAAAGCTTCAGATTATGCATTTTACCAAATTAAAGAATGTATTGATCTCATTCACTCATTCAATAAATATTTATCAAATAACTACCATGTTGTACATCCTGTTCTAAGGGCTGGAATAGAGCAATGAAAACAGCAAAACTCAACCTACAGAAACAACATTTTAGAGGATAAATTTCTTCTGTAAGAATTGAATAAGACACATTTGTTTTGGGCTTCCCTGGTAGCACAGTGGTTGGGAATCTGCTTGCCAATGGGAATCCTCCTGCCAATGCAGGGGACACGGTTTGGAGCTCTGGTCCGGGAAGTTCCCACATGCCGCGGGGCAACTAAGTCCTCGAGCCACAGCTACTGAAGCTCGTGCTCCGCAAAAAGAGAAGCCACTGCAATGAGAAGCCCAAGCAACGCAAGGAAGAGTAGCCCCCGCTCTCGGCAACTGGAGAAAGCCCTCGCACAGCAACGAAGACCCAACGCAGCCATAAATAAATAAATATTTATTTATTTATTTTACCAAATAAAGACAAGACAAGGCTGCGGAGCTCAAGACAGACAGGAAGCAGAGACCCTCAAGGCCTAGAGCAGAGCTACATGAGGGCTTCGGGAGTGACAGAAGAGGCTGGAAAGTCGGGGCTCCCACAACACAAACCCACACACACGCACCTGTGGTAGAGGCCTCCTGTCATGTCAGTTACATCCACTCATTCTTTTAAATGCCTCTGAACACCTTCTAACCCCCCGTCTTCGGCCAGGCAATGGGGACACAGCTACCTCTCATGGTATTAAATATTAATATTAAATATTTAAATATTAAAAAAACACATTTGTTTCCATGAAAACTCAAGGTTAACTAGATATCTGAAATCATCACTCAATATTTGCAATTTAAATGAGAAAAGCCTTTTTTTCCTATGACTGTCTGCTATGTAAGGTAAACTCAAATCAGAAATTAACAGGAAGATGCCTAATTACCATAGCTGATTTTTTATCCTTCCTGCTTTCTTTGAGAGATAAAACCACATTCCAAATTTAAATCGAATAATTGTGAAAGTACTTTATTCTTTTTTCCGAATAAATCCATCTTAACAATGGATTTTTTAAATGAAAAAAACTTGGTCTCAAATACTAAAATGATTTTCCTAGAATATTTGCAAGACAACATTATTGCATTAGGAATCAGTCTTATGAATAAAATACATGAGTTATTACTTAAAGGTCCTTTCTACACTAATATTAAATAAGTAATTGTATAAACAAGAAAGACATCAAAATTTGAACTGTGCCCTCTGCAGTGAAAGCGCAGAGTCCTAACCACTGGACCGCCAGGGAATTCCCCTAAAATTCATCTTTTTTGCCTACATTTTCTTGTTGGCTGTGGATACATACTATACACAGATTAAAGTTTTTGATGTTTATTTAATATTTTCTACATAAAGCCTTATTGAAAACCTCAACTAAACTTCTCAACAAACACTGATTTAAGGAAAATAAACTACAAAATATTTCTGACAAACTTATAAAGTACTGTGTTGAAAAACAGCCTTCTGTTTTTCTAAATAAAACAGCTGCCATATTTCAAAGGGAAGAGTACTGAAAATGTTTTAATTCTGAATTGATGACTCTTCTTCTATCAAGCTTTTACAGTAATATGGGTTGTCCTTTCCTTATTTTTAATTTTATGAAAAGTTTAATAATCAGCTTTGAGATTGATTTTCTTCTGTAAGCATGATCTGCAGGTTTTCTTTGACCTTGCATAATACCTCAGTATGGAAAACGGTTACTTAAAAAAAAAAAAAAAAAGTGATAGAAGAGCCTCAATCCTCTGATTCACTGGTTTTCACACTGTGCTCCTTAGAGCTCAGGGGCCACCGGAAGACCAGTGTGGAAGCTCTGTGCAGCTGACGCTCAGAGCCCCACATCTGCTACTCACCTAGTTTAGCTCAGTTTTTGCCTGTTTTGTTTCACTGTGCTTCTGTGCAATATTTCTTCTAAGTATTTAGCTTTAAAAATATTTATATTCAGTGGAAGAGAAACCTGAAACAGAGCCACAGAGATAGTTGCCTTTAACTCCTAGGCCAGAGCACTCTCAGCTACCTCAAGGTGAGTTCCACAGGACACTATGGTACCTGCTTTGTCTTGCTCTGTGTTGACAATATGGTAAATTAAAGAGACTTCCTAGAGCCAAGTCCACTTGGCCACCATCTTACATAAATCAGACTACACTTAATGTTCTTCCATCTTTCACCTCATAAGAAAATGAGTATGTACTCCAATAATTAGAATAAAGCCAGAAAATCTTAAATTTCGAAGACAGATACAAATTTAGATTTGGATGAGGATATTATATTGATTTCCAGTTCATCCAATTATGTCTACCTAGAAAATGTTCTTTCCTCTAGACTGGATAACTAGATGAAAACCTCTGAAAAGACACAATTTCACCACATTGTATTTTTGAGGTTAAAAAGAAAAAAGTGAGACTATTTTCTTTTGTTTTTAACAAAGATGCTAGAACACTTGAATCTAAAACAAGTAATTCCCATCAAAAGAAATCCTCAAAAGTCAGTCATTCCAATAATGTTGTGATGACACATCAACGTCTTCTAAAGAAGCATTTTCAGACAATGGAATACAGTTAAATTTCTTCAATAACTTATTATGAATCTTTTATGCCTTGAAGACAGTTTTAACACTTAGAAACAAGAAGTCTGTTCAATTGGGTCTGTGTAGTATAGTAAGTGACCAACTCTTTATAATGGGACAAAGATATGGTACAGCTATAAATTAAAGGAATGGAGACTAAATGTAGTCTCCTCTTATATAGACTAGATGAAATTTCACTGTAATAAGGGTATGTTCAGTAAGGGCTAGCCTAGGCACAACCACTCAGGCAGAGCTTAAGAGCCAACCCCTATTCTCAGGAGTTGGTCCTGTATTCTTCTGTTGGTCGCTCTTAGGGAGGGGAAAGGAGGGAGAAGAAGGGGGCTTTGCTCATTCACAAGGATGTCCTCTACCCTGCATGGTGATCTGAAAAAAACTGATGCTTCCTCTAAACCTAGAGGAGCTACTGCAGGAAGATTGGCCTCAACTGTAAATGCTGACTTTTTGCATTTACTTCTATTTTTTTAAAAAAGTATGTAAAATATAAAATAATAGTCCTCCTGGGATTTCTGGCAGCAGATGAAATAACTCCTACATGTGGCTATGAGAAATTTCTAGTCATTCTTCCCAGCACCGGGGGTGAACTCCCTCACTTTCTAAGAGGTAGGGGAAGGTGTCCTGGCTCTGTATTTCAGAATCCTCCTTTGCCTTATTGTTTTGTGGTAGTGAAAATTCTCCTGAAATGTGCACTTTCTTCACTGTGTCAGATTTATGAATCATGTTCCAGGTATTTGGCCTGCCACCCAAGTTCAATGCCAGTTTTAGCATAATTGTACTAAATCTTCTTTCAGCTCTGAGTTGTAAAAAGTTGTAGCATTGTTGGAATTAGTATTGAATTAGAACACTTATTTCAATGTGTAGATTCCATTGCTTTGGTTTACACAGCAATGGCAATACTCTTTATCCATGCAAAATAAAACCATAAAATTAAGTTAAAAGCTTATACCAAAGACAACTCATACAGTATCATCAAAAAGCTAAATAGGGCTAAATGAACAGCCAGTAAATATCAAAAATATTTTTTAAAGGTAGAGGATGATGAGACAGGAGGCAGAAGGAACCTGAAACAACTACATCATTTGCACTCAAAATAACTTCCGCTCAATCACAGAAGAAATCTGACACCTTAAAAAGACCTCAAAACTGCAATTTGAAAGACTTTTTGCCCAATTCACTGCATTACATGCCCTTTTAGAATCCAAGATCCTGGATCTTTAATCCAAGATCATTATTCAAACATTCTAAGAGCAGGGCTTCCCCACTCCGGCCCAGATCGGAAAGTGATACTATGAAAATGATCCCTCTGGGCCTAACAGGCTATCACCCTTTGGCATGTGTATTAGTTTCCTAGGGCTGACATAACAATGTACCACAAACTGGACGTCTTAAAAAAGGAACATATCCTCTCACAGTACTGGAGGCTAGAAGTGTGAAATCCAGGTATCACCAGGGCCACTGCCCACTCCGAAGGCTTTAGAGAAGAATCCTTCCCCACCTCTTCCTAGTTTCCTGGGGTTGCCAGCGATCCCTCACTTTCCTTCACTTGTCGATGCATCACTCCAATTTCTACCTCTATTGTCATTGGCATTCTCCACCTATCTGTATGTGAATCTTTTCTCCTATTCTTACAGATCCGATTTAGGGACTCTTCTTTACCAATCTGACCTCATCTTAACTTGATTATATCTGCAAACACTCTTTTCAAATAAGAGTGTTTATTCACAAGTGCCAGGGGCTAGGACTTGAACATATCTTCTGTGGTGGGATGCAATTCAACCCACAACAGCATTATGAAATGACTCAGGAGGAGAATGAATAGAAGCACTTGGAAAGGCCAACCACAGTTCAGCGCCCTGACATTTGTCGCACATAAAAGGGAAGCAGAGCGCCAAGATGTAAGGACTAAAACTGTGATACTGTATTGCTGGTGGAAGCACTGCAATTTGAGATTTCACTCAAAAATACTGAGGTACATTTGTGAAGACAGAGTGTAAAATTCAAAGAAGAGCAGTGTGCTGCTTTCCTTTCACCTGCAGACCTGAGGGTACTTTACAAGTTTAAAGAAGGCTCAGAATACCCACAAGAAGTAGATACTCACACAGCCTAAAACATCAGCAATGAGGCCAGAGAGTGTTGACATGTTAGTAGCAATAAAACGTCTTGAGTTTTTACTTTTTTTTTTTTTCAACATAGCCTGCAAATTAAGTCTAGCAGGTCTATGGTGACATGGGTCAGGATCTTTAACAATTGGTTACTATCAAAATCCTCCCAATTGATGTGTATATCACCATCTGAGCCATATAATAGAAAAGGAGAAACAAAATGAATAAAATGTTTGCCTTCCAGGTTGATGATATTCAGATACTCTTAAAAGAGCAATAAGACTGCATTAATTTACTCCACCAGGCAATAATTCAGGCATGTCAATATTTTGTAATCTTAGAACAATTTAAGTATGTATGAGAAAATCTTAGCATGCAGCAAGGCCCACCACGTGACTTACAAAATACCTAATCAACATATAGGGCTTTTTGTTTTCTTTTTATGTCAATGAGGAAGTATGCTTTTAGATTCATATAATCTCAGAATTAGGATGAATGTTTTCTAACCAGATTTAGAGGGATGCTTTATAAAGATTTCATCCAACATTTCAAAAGCAGCAATACTTATTCAAAACTATGATATGACCCTACAATTCTATTTCAGAATGCAGTGTTCAATTCAACATATTTCTACCCAATCAAACACAGGACAGTCACGCTGTAAAGCACTCCTGCTGCAACAGGAAGCTGAACTATGATCGTGCAACAACCACTTCATTCCTCCTAAAGAAAGAAGTTTGCCATAAAGGCAGTCAAACCTTACCACAGGAAAGCACACAATTCCTCTTAGGAGGAGGTAAGTGGTTCTAGCCACCAACCCCACTGGGTCAAAACTGGCAGATATGTGTTTCAACCCAGTTAAGTTGGAACTACCACCCCAAGGCCAGTGAGGAAATGTTACTATTTTGGGAAGCAGAGTTGCACTCTCAATCCAGTTGAAAGTAAGGCTACAGAGTAAAAGATTATATGAAAAGAACACACACAAAAATTGTGAATAAAACAATCTTATTGGCTAAAATGGAATTTGTTTGAATAAATTATCCCAGTGTGAGTTTTCCTGCAACCGGGCAATAGAAATGATACCATATTTGATGGTTCAGAAAACCTAGTGAGACTCAACGCCTTTTATGTATGCATATACACACACACACCTTTATTCCTGGAAATACTGTTTCAATATGAAACCAAATATTTTTATACTTCTCTATCTTCTAAAGCACCTGGAAATTGTCTGTACTTGTAGACAATATGTCTTCAGGAATGACACACCAACACAAAGTACCAACTCCCTTACCTTCCAGAGGTCAGGAGATCCTTCTATAAGTTTGGCTTTGATGTGACAGTATTTTAGAGCCAAATGCAAACACTCAGTTCCAAATTCCAAGTCATAGTCACTACACTGTGTAGGAAGAAAAAAGAATTAAGTTGAAATATAATTTTTAATAAATTAATCTTTTAATTTCATAATCAACTGTACATGGAAAAGAGCCCAGAAAATTCACAAACTCTTTAATTAGCTACTGATTAATCAGGTAGATTAATCTTCCCCATGCCCTAAAAGCCAAATGAAACAAATAGAAAACAGGATTGTTGCAATCACAAGAGTTTTTAACTTCCTGAATAGTTTCAGGTGTCAGATAAATATAATACTTTATTTCCTTTGCTCAAAAACTACATTTCCAAACACATTTGTGAAATGCCTCAAGGTATGACCGAGGAGTACCATATCAGACTTGATTTAACAAATATAGGTATCCATAAAACTCCAAACCCCTTATCTCATATTTATACCGCTTTCTTATTAATTGGTATTTTAAATATCAATATATCCTTTTTAGAGGATATATTTTGATTCTGAACATGGAAATATTTCAGTCTTTCATTATGAGAAAAAAGTTAAACGCCCATTAGATTTTAGTAAAATATAAGTAACTTTTTTTAGCATTTTAAGCAGAACCATCAAAAATGACCAACACAATATAATTCAGCTGAGTAACAGTCACTAAGTAACTATCAAGTCCAAGGTTTGTATTAAGGACCAGAATAAAAAGACAAATGAAACATGTTTTGTCGCCTCAAGGAACTCAAGTCTAGAAGGGGAGGTTGATCTATAACAAATATTTTATAACAGAATGTGATATGAAGCAATAGAGGAATATTTATAAGTAGACCAGGAGATAAAATACTTAATTCTGTATGAGGGTATCAGGGAAGGCCCATCAGAGGAAATGGTCTCTGATCTCATTCCAAAGACTGAATAAAACTCAAGCATAGGGATACCCTTCAGGCAAAAAGTGCCAAACAAAGATACAGACGTTGCAGACATCTGCTGGATTTGCATTTTACAAAGAGCATATCCGTATAAGACAGACTGCAGGAAGACAACAAATACGAATATGACATTTAGCACCCTTTGCCAATCTTTATTGTACTTGAGATTATGAAATGCCAAATTTTAATGATTTATGAAGTTAATGTACAAGAAAACATAACCATCAAGTATACCCAGAGTCCCAAATTAATCAGAACCGTCTCAGCTTAAACTTTCTATACTGATATACTACCTAACGTGACATTTATTAAACATTTTCATCTTTAATATAGTATTATCAGCAGTTGTTACATTCAAATAAATTAAGTTTTGGTAAACATTCTACTTTCAACGTCTGCACAGGCTCATCTAGTAGTATGCAAGTGAGACCAACCTACAGTGAAAAAAGAGTTCTCTCCTAACACATGGTTAAATCCCAGAGATGACTAGCAATAACCCTTTTCCTGCCTCTTTCCAGATGCAAGATATTGAACACATGCATGAACAGCCTTAAAAGCATTCACAAAGTGCCTACTAAGAGGAACCCACAGGAACAGCTACTTCCTTTGTATCTCAGGGATGAGAATTACTTGATGCTGTGCTCCTTCCACTCACGTGATGTACCAGCCAACATGGCAACAGCTTACAAACTGCATGAAGTCTTCAGGATTCCAATCGACAGAGCCAACAGGAAACAAGGAAAATGATGCATCAGGTACTTATGAAATATATACTAGAAACACATACTGAGCCATCTTGGCAGAAACAGTCTGAAGCTGTTATTCACTGTATAGATTAATATTACAACTATTTACAGGGTTTTGGGTAACTTTTTTGCATTAAACCTTGCTTCTACAGTTAGCTCAAAAAAAAAAAAGCATGCTTAATGACAAATTAAATTCTGAATGCGTTTCTTAAGAACATGGATGACGATTTCCACTTCTGCCTAGGATATGGAAAGCTGACAAAAATGATACTCATTTCAGAGCAAAAGAAAAAAGCAGACAAACTACAAAAGCAGAACTTTTTCTCAAAACATCAGAGCTGAGGTCACAGGATTACCAAGTATCCCTAAATCTAAGAAAAGGCATGCCTCCCCGCAAAAAGGAGAGAGTGCCATACAGGCAGGTAAGAAGAAATCACCTAAAAATTCCAACAAACTGTCAAAAATACTGAGTGGAGGAAACTAGGAGAATGTACAACCTCTGAGATTCACAGCCACAACAGGAGTGTATACCCACCCAAAGGGTCTTCTTCAGCAACCTGTTACCGGGTGCTCATGAAGAGGTGTAATAGTATTTCAAAGTGACTGTGATTTTAACCTCAAGGTAATCACTAAACAAATGCTTTATAGTAAGAAGTCAATAGTGATAAGAGGGAAAAATCAAATGAGAAACTAATACAAAGGCAGGCAGAAAAAAAGAAAAGGAACAAAAATAAATCACACAGCAAGATGGTAGATTTTAATCAAGTAAGTTAATTAATGTGTAACTACACGAAGTATCAACATTATCCAGCATGGGGGCCATAGTGCTATCACTGAGCACATGAAAAACACACAAATACATAGGTGCGGAGAACCCTCTGCCTCCCTAAACTTGGAGCCCAAAATAGCATTAACAATGTTCTCCTCAGGCAGAAGCCCTTAGCACACTATTTTCAGAGGTCCCCACATACACTGCCAACCCCAGTCACCTTACAGTGAACCTCACAATCAACAGGCCCACTTATAAAATCCACAAATCCAACCAGTCTCCAACATACACACATGAGCAAAAAACCCAGATTTAACTGAAACCCAAGGTAAAACTAAAATGAAAGGTGAAAAAGGCAAAAAATAAAGTATTTTGTAGGAGCTAGAAACTATACACTTAATAAAGACTTAATAACCCCAGAATGATAGTGTCTATACTCATAAAATAAGGATAATATTTAAGAGGATAATATTTAGAAGGGTGGAAAACAGAAAAAGATAATAGATGACTCAACCACAAATTCCAATATGTTAAAAAAAAAAAAAAATCAGGGACTTCCCTGGTGGTACATTGGTTAAGTAACCACCTGCCAAGGAAATTTACACAAGCCTATTAGATAGCCTCATCCACCAGAGGGCAGACAGCAGAAGCAAGAAGAACTACAACCCTGCAGCCTGTGGAACAAAAACCACATTCACAGAAAGATAGACAAGATGAAAAGGCAGAGGGCTATGTACCAGATGAAGGAACAAGATAAAACCCCAGAAAAAACAACTAAATGAAGTGGAGATAGTCAACCTTCCAGAAAAAGAATTCAGAATAATGATAGTGAAGATGATCCAGGACCTCGGAAAAAGTATGGAGGCAAAGATCAGGAAGATATAAGAAATATGTAACAAAGACCTAGAATTAAAGAACAGACAAAGCTTCCCTGGACGAAAAGGCAGAGGGCTATGCACCAGATGAACAAGATAAAACCCCAGAGAAACAATTAAATGAAGTGGAGACAGGCAACCTTCCAGAAAAAGAATTCATAATAATGATAGTGAAGATGATCCAGGACCTCGGAAAAAGAATGGAGCCAAAGATCGAGAAAATGCAAGAAGTGTTTAACAAAGACCTTGAAGATTAAAGAACAAACAGAGATGAACAATACAATAACTGAAGTGAAAACTACATTAGAAGGAATCAAAAGCAGAATAACTGAGGCAGAAGAACAGACAAGTGACCTGGAAGACAGAATGGTGGAATTCACTGCTGCGGAACAGAATAAAGAAAAAGAAGGAAAAGAAATGAAGACAGCCTAAGAGACCTCTAGGACAACATTAAACGCAACAACATTCGCATTATAGGGGTCCCAGAAGGCGAAGAGAGAGACAAAGGACCAGAGAAAATATATCAAGAGATTATAGTCGAAAACTTCTCTTACATGGGAAAGGAAATAGACACCCAAGTCCAGGAAGCGCAGAGAGTCCCATACAGGATAAACCGAAGGAGAAACAAACCGAGACACATAGTAATCAAACTGGAAAAAATTAAAGACAAAAAAAAATTACGGAAAGCAGCAAGGGAAAATGACAAATAACATACAAGGGAACTCCCATAAGGTTGACGGCTGATTTCTCAGCAAAAACTCTACAAGCCAGAAGGGAAAGTGATGAAAGGAAGAACCTACAACCAAGATTGGTCTACCCAGCAAGGATCTCATTCAGATTTGATGGAGAAATCAAAAGCTACACAGACAAGCAAAAGCTAAGAGAATTCAGCAACACCAAACCACCTCTACAACAAATGCTAAAGGAATTTCTCTAAGTGGGAAACACAAGAAAAGAAAAGGACCTACAAAAACAAACCCAAAACAATTAAAAGAATGGTAATAGGAACATACATATCAATCATTATCTTAAACGAGAATGGATTAAATGCTCCAACCAAAAGACACAAGCTTGCTGAATAGATACAGAAACAAGACCCATCTATATGGTGTCTATAAGAGACCCACTTCAGACCTAGGGACACATACAGACTGAAAGTGAGGGGATGGAAAAACATATTCCATGCCAATGGAAATCAAAAGAAAGCTGGAGTAGCAATTTTCATATCGGATAAAATAGACTTTAAAATAAAGAATGTTACAAGAGACAAGGAAGGACACTACATAATGATCAAGGGATCAATCCAAGAAGAAGATATAACAATTATAAATATATATGCACCCAACATAGGAGTACCTCAATACGTGAGGCAACTGCTAACAGCTATAAAGCAGGAAATCGACAGTAACACGATAATAGTGGGGGACTTTAACACCTCAATTACACCAATGGACAGATCATCCAAAAAGAAAATAAATAAGGAAACAGAAGCTTTAAATGACACAACAGACCAGATAGATTTAATTGATATTTATAGGACATTCTATCCAAAAGCAGCAGATAACACTTTCTTCTCAAGTGCGCACAAAACATTCTCCAGGATAGATCACATCTTGGGTCACAAATGAAGCCTCAGTAAATTTAAGAAGGTTAAAATCATATCAAGCATCTTTTCTGACCACAACACTATGAGATGAGAAATCAATTACATGGAAAAAAATGTAAAAAACACAAACAC